GGAACTGAAACGTACTACTGGTACTGCGTGTGTTTCAAAAATTCCAAATTAGGCCCCGGGCCCCTTTCGATCAATATCACAATTCCGGCACGGCGGCTCCGCCGTGCTCCGGCGAGCGGCGGCGATTCGCCTTGGTTTGGCCGTTTTCAGCCGTTTCCAGCCGAATTCGGCCACACTTGTATCGATCCTTGCGATAAAACAACCCTAGGGCCCTCGGGAGGCCAAAAAATTACAGAAAACTGAAGCTTACCGGCGGCGGTGCTCTCTGGTGAAGTTCGTGTTTTGGTGATTCGGCTCCGATCAACCTGTAGAGAAAAGAATGGTGATCACGGTGATATAAAAATTGCATTAAACGGAGGCCGGGAAGGGCCTCATCGGAGGCAAAAATCGAGAAGGGGCGCGGCGGCGCCGCTGGATTTCGGCCGTGTTTTCCGGCCGTTTGGCCGGGATTTTGGCTGCGATTTGGCCACTGGGGAAATCAGCGTGGAAAAACGAGTCGGGGGTATGAAATTTACCTCGATCGGCGGTCAGAAATCTCCCCAGTGCGGCGGCGGGTGGCGGTGGCCGGCATCTGGTTCGTCTTCTCCGGCGAGGGCAGGCGGCTAGGGTTTTTTTGGTCTGGTGTGGGAGTTCTATTTATACCCTTTTGCCTTTTGATCTCAGCCGTCCATTTTGTTTTAATCTGGGCTGTCCGTTTTTTGATTAAATCTGGGCCGTCTGTGCGATTTCATCTGGGCCGTCCGTACGCACGCTTGATCTGGGCCGTCCGATCGCGCGTACGCGGATCGCCAACGTGACCCGTCCCCGGTCGACGTGATTTTGCCATATGGCAGGTCTTGGTTGGCTGAGACTGCTGACTGGGTCTGCTGATGTAGCCCCCTTTTTTTTTTTCCGGTCGCTACATAAATGTAGTTCTTGATAACTTATATATGTCGTTAAGAAATCTCTAAATTTGATAACATAAAAAATATATATATATATATATATATATATTTTTTACAGTAGAATAAACAAGTAAAAGCAGTTGACATAATCATAGATTTATAACAAAACAAAATTAGGTGAACGTTGGAAAAAAAATTTGAAAGTAAATACAAAAATGAAGAACAGAGAAATACAAGGAATTTTTTTTGTTACAAGGTGAAAATTAGAAATAAATAAATAAAATTAAAGTATAAAAATGATAAATAGAAAAATGAAAGGAAAAATCTAAAACTTAGAAATATTAATTAAATATTCAATAGAAATTAACTTATGTGTATATGTATGTATATTTATATATGTACATATAATATTTAGTATGTCCCACTTAATCTAATTTAAAAAAGAAGAGAGTTCGAGTAGACACAATTTTAGAGTGTTAATAACACTCCATTTTGGAATACAAACTTCGAATAATTATTAAATATTATAAGAGTATAAATAAATATAATCCACTTAATCTAAATCTGTCAGAAAACTATGGAAAAAAAAAATTAAAAGTTTAACAATCAAAATTATGGAATCTTTCAACTATTAATTTTTAGCAATCTCCCACGTACAATAGTAAACGTGAAAATGATGCGTCAATTGGGTAATGAAAATTGAAGTTTCACTTCTTCCAGAAAGGATTCGCACGGGTTTAAGAGCCGCCCAAGAAGAAACTTCTTTTAAGACCTTTGTGATATACAAATATATATCTCTAAGAAGGAACTTCCAACTGAACTTATCTTGCCAGAAAACCAATCAGTTGCTTATAAAAGAAGCGATAAAATTGTCATTCTAAACAAAGCAAAGAATCAATATCTCGTTCAATAAACTCGTGATTACCA